TCCTAGTTTTGATTGGCATCTCCTTGACAGTTAATGATAGATATTATTTTTCCCATGGTGTTGGCTAGTTCCTCTTTTGAGTACCGTCAATTTGCCTGTTTTTTTAAAAGTAGGTTTTTGTTTTGTGTTGTTGAGTTTTGAAATTTTACCATCTGTTAAATTCAGATGGTGGATGCATTCTCCTATTCTCCAGGTTGTCTCTTCAGGCATAGTTTCCTTTGCTGTAAGAAAGCATCACCCCCTGCCCCCCGCCCCCCAAACCCCGCCCCCTACCGCCCCCTGTGTACAATGTAGTCCCATTTTTTTCCTTTTCTTTCTTCAGTTTTTAAGGTCCTACCAGAAAAATCAGTGTTTGCACCAATGTCTTTAAGTGTGCCCTCTGCTCTGAGTTTCGGGTCTTACATATTTAGTTCTTCAGTCCATCTTCTACGGGATAAGAGATAGCCGTCGAGTTTCAATCTTCCCTATGAGAATACCCAGCCTTCTCAGCACTCTTGCTTAGATGCTGCCCTTTCTCTAGCATAAGCCTTTGGTAGCACTGTTAAGAGTTGGTTGACCAAGGATGGACACACTTGTTCCTAAGTTTATGATTGTTCTATTGATCATCTGCCTATGTGCCCAGTACCATGCTGTTCTGGTCACTGTGGTTCTGCACATGTCTTGAAACCAGACATCAGGATGCTTACAGCTTTGTTCTTTTTGTTCAAGATTGCTGTGGTTATTCAGGGTCTTTTGTGCTTCTATTATGAATTAAAGCATTGCATAAATTTATAGATGGCCTTGAATGTGGACATTCTAACAATACTGATTTTTCTGATCCAGAAACATGGGGTTTTAGGTTTGCAATTTCCTTATTCAGGATTTATAATTTCTATTATATAAGTCTTTCCTTGGTTATATTTGTTCTTAGTGTTTTTTTTATTTATTTATTTATTTATTTATTTATTTATTTATTTATTTATTTATTTATTGTATTTGTTGTAAATGGAATTGATTGATTTCTTTCTCAGTAAACACACTGTCAATATGTCAAAAAGCTATTGGGTTTTGTGTATTGATTTTACATCCTTTTACTTTACTGAATTAGTAATCTTTTGGTGGAAGTTTTGATGAAGGTTCTTATATATGTACCATCATATCCTCTGCCAAAAAGGATAATTTGACTTCTTCCATAACTGTATGGTTTTAATTTCACTCTCTTGCCCAATTGTTCTGGCTAAATAGTCTATCTAGTACTGTGTTGAATAAAGGTGTCAGGAATGGAAATCCCTCTATCATTACTAATCTAGGAAGAAATGCTTTGATCTTTTCCTCTTTCTTACGGTGTTGACTATGAATTCATCATCCATAGTCTTTACTATGTTGAAGGACTTCTATACTTATTTTAGGGCTTTAATCATAATGTATATGGGGATATGTATGAATATTTATATCCAAGTATGAATATCCATGTGTGTTCACCTAGAGGCCACAGGTCCATGTCAAGTGTCGTCCTCTCTCATTCTCCCCATTAGTTTTTGTTCAGATGGAGTCACTGTCAACTAAGAGTTGGCTAGAGTGACTGGTCAACAAGTCCCCAGGATCCACCTTTCTCTGTTTTCCACTTCTGAGAGAACAAGTGTACGCCAACCACAACCACCACAGCCAACTTTTTACTTGGGTACTGGGAATCCAAGCTCATGTGCAATGCTGAATTTTAGTGAGTGATATTTTACATCTATTGAGAAGACTGCCATCTTTATCTGTTGTTCTGATACATTGTTATACTTATTGATTGCGTATGTGTAACCATCCTTGCATGCCTCCAAAGACACTAACTTGACTATGATGAAAGACATTTTTGTACACTATTCAGTTTGATTTGCAAGTATTTTGCTTGAGAAATTTTGCACCAATGCTCATCAGGGATATTGGTATACAGTTTGTTGTTGTGTCCCTGTCTAACTTTAGTAACAGGGTGATGCTGGCCTCAGAAGGAATTTGGAAGAGTTCCTCTTGTCTCAATTTTGTGGGATGGTTTGAGAAAAACTAGGATCACTTCTTTAAAAATTTGGCAAAATCCAGTAGCGAAAGCTGGTGCTGCAGCTCGGTTGACAAGTGTTTACTTGAATGTTCATGACCTTGGGGTCATTCCTGAGCACTGAGAAAAACAACCAGATGAATTCAGCTTTGAATCCATCCTCTCTCTCTCTCTCTCTCTCTCTCTCTCTCTCTCTCTCTCTCCTCTCTTTGCAAGATAGCTCCTTATGGGACTAGAGAGATGGTTCAGCAGTAAAAGCACTGGCTGAGCCGGCAGTGGCGGCCCACACCTTTAATCCCAGCACTATGGAGGCAGAAACAGGTGAATCTCTGTGAGTTCGAGGACAGCCAAAGCTACACTGCAAAACCCTATCTTGAGAAACAGAGAGAGAGAGAGAGACAGAGAGAGGAGACAGAGACAGAGAGAAAGAATACTGACTGCTCTTGCAAGAGGACCTAGGTTCAATTCCTACCACCCACATGGCAGCTCACAACCATCTGTGACTCTTGTCTTGGGGAATCCAATGCCCTCTTCTGAGTGCAAAGCCACACATTCAGACATAACACTCATGTGCATAAAATAAAATGGGGTTGGGCTCACAGCACCCCGAGGGTTCACCGAGAAATGATGAGATGAGACCCTGTGCAGATTCAGGATACTTCTCTAGTGGGTTATAAGCCTGAGGAGATTATGGTACTTTCTAGCAGCTAGCGTTGCCAACATCTGCCCTAGTAGAACTTGCTGGAATTCTCTGCATGCCTGCACGAGAGAGACTCCAGAGGTGTGGAGCTGGAGTGGCAGATTGTGGGTATTTCTCTTCTTTCACTGCTGTTAGCTTGGCTCTCTGTACCTTACAAGGTCCCAGTCTCTCTCTTGCTGATCTCTAGGTCCCCAGTCACTGACCTCCAAATGTCCCCAGATACCTGTTGCTTTGGTTCTTCTCTGTGTTGGAGCAGCTGAGAGCTAGGTGTTCCTATCTGGCCACTTGTCCTGTCATTTACCTTCAACAATCAACACGCTTTATCTGTCACCTGCTTTTGTTTTATATAGTCAGGGACCATGGAAAACTAGTCAGAACACTTAAGGAAAGGGCCTGCCCTTGGAAACGGTTGAGACAACACACTATCAGCAATGCTAACATGGACCTTCTTTCCAAAGATCATCTTCAAAGTGACAAAATCATAATTCTTACCTCAATATGAAATAAATACATAGCAGATGTTGCTGCTATCTCATGAATTAATGAAGGGGGATGTAGGGCATTAAAATTTGTCCCAAGGGAAATCTGAAGAACAGGTGTATTTATACATAGATGGTCATGAAGGCTGAACCACATTTGCTAATATAAGCACGACTGGATAATTCACTATAATGAACTAAAATATGATGATGCTCAGGATAAGCGTTTGCACAGAGAGGACATCAATTACCCTGCATGCCACCAAACAAAATGAATTTCCACTTCTAAAATAAGAATCATTTTCTGTAACAATGGTTTCTATGAGAATAATTACAAAATGGGCAAGGACAATAAAATAGACCACTATAGATTCACACCCCTCATTAAAAGATCTCCCAGTGCTGCTCAACACTCTGCTGACAGATGATCCTGTTTTTGTTTCCATTTTAAAGTCTTCCGCTGTCTTTCCTGATGCTCCCATTTTTAACTGGAATAATACCCACTAACTAGGAACCAGAGTTGCTAAGAAAAATGCAAATAACTCATTTCATGAATACCTTTATTTCAGATACATGTCTTTGGGGCTGGAGGGATGGCTCAGCAGTTTGAAGAGCTAACTGCTCTTCCAGAGGACCCAAATGTAGGTCCTAGCATCCACACTGGAGGGCTCACAACAGCCTGTAATTCCAGCTCAGGGGACCTGACTCCTCTTCTGGCCTCTGGAGTAAGGCCCCCAACATGTGCGTGCACCGGCCCGCCCATACAAATAAAACAAACAAATAAATAACAAAAAAAAATCTTTAAAAATTTCCAGTGCTGAACACAAAAGTGGCTACTCAGAGTGCTTGTGACCTGGTTGTCCTTGTACATGCTGGCATTCTTGTACTTTGATCAGGCAGCCCCAGTGGAGCATCTCAGCTGAGAACAGCCTTTGTAAACTCTCTCTCTGGAGAGCCATGGGAAGGAACCCCAATACATGCTTTAAAATTCCAGTGGTGACTGGCAAGGATGTGTTCTAACCCATAAAATGACAAATGACAGTGTGGCTTTAACAGAGTCCAAGAAAAAGGCAGAGGCTAACGCTTTGCTGCAGTGGCAGCCACTGTGGTGTGTTCCAGGACCTCCCTCTGCCTGCAAGAGAGAGGAAAGATGAAGGAGTCAAGCCGGAAACGCAGAGAGCCTGCCCTGATGCTTCCCCTACAGGAAACGCTGGTGTGTGACGGCCCCTAACTTCCTGTCTTGGTGTTTTCTATCCTTTCCTCAGCCCACGCTTCTTCCCACCTTCCCCACCTTCATCCTGCCCCCTTCCTTTCCCGATCTATCCCTTCTCTCCTTTCTCTTCAATCCCCACTTTCCAGTTCCTCCTCCCCCTTCTCCCCTTACATCTTGATGACCTGTGCTTCCCCTCACCCTTGTTAACTCTAGTCCCTTCTCTTCTGAGCACATCTAAACATTTTAAAGATTTATATTTACTTTTATTTGTACAGATGAGGCACATGTGTGCAGGTACCTGAGGCGGCCAAAAGAACCTGGAACTAGAGTTACAAGTGATTCTGAGCTAACCCATGTGGGTGATGTGAACCAAACTCAGGTGCTAGATTCGTCTCTCTGGCTCTATAACCTTTTCTTTTTTGAAGGCTAAGTTTCAAGAAAGGATCTGAAAAGTCCACTCTGGAGTCCTCTAAGCATGAACCCCAATTTATAGGCATGTTGCTCTTTCCTCAGACCTGGAAAAAAAGGCTGAACTTGAGTTTCAACAAATACTGATCCTTCCTTTTTCTTTAGATAAAAATTGGGATGATCCCAAAACAATTCCTTCTGGAATGAATGTTCATCTTCTCCTCCCCAAATGTGCTCACCTTGTCAGTTGAACTAGATTGAGGGTAGAAAGTAAGACATGTGAACGTCTCTTCACTGAGAAGCATAGTTCGATTTAACATTTCATTTATTTGTTTGTTTCTATTTGCAAGGGTGTTTTGCCTGCATGTACGCTTGTGCATCATGTGCATGCCTGGTCTCCAGAGAGTCCAGAAGTATCAAATTCCTTGAGACTATAGTTGTAAACTATTGTGAGCCAACATGTGGTTGCTGGGATTTAAAGCCATGTCTTCTGGAAGAGCAGCCAGTGCTCTTAACTACTGAGCCATCTCTCCAGCCCCAGCATGTCTAACTCTTAAATATTCATTTTCTGAATAGTGGCCATCACCTATTCATAACGCAGTCTGTAAGGGCATGACAAACTATGGCATTTTAGTAAACTTGAAACACTAACAGTAGCAGTGTTTCCTGTGAAAATACTGCTCTCCATCTGCCAGAGTTTAAGCTGTAAAACCCCAACAACAATTGTGTGTTTTCTTCTGAGTCATCAGTTTTCTCTCTCTCCTGAAGATCTCTTTCTCCTATATACTGGCAATTTATAAATATTCTTCCCAGTAACTCTCAACTTACAGAAATCAAATGTTTCTGAGTGTGGGTCCTGGGGATTTGGTCCATACCTCAGAGAGAGACAGAGATAGGGAGGTAGAGAGACAGGTTTCCTGGCTTTGGGAAATAACCATAGTTTGTAGGGAACAATACCAGGGGTCAGGTTATTGGAGAATGTGCTTGGGGGGCTCTCAGAGTTAAAGGACCCTGGAACAAGGACTCTGCATTCTGCATAGAGTAATTCTCATAAATGAAGAGAGGTAGGAAAGGAGGGAATGAGGAGGAGGGTTAAATGGGGCATGCAGAAGGGAGCCTTGAGGTAAAGCAGGAGAAGTTGTTCTATGGCATGGTGAAGTGTTTGGCTTTTCTTCTTAAGGTATCACAAGATTTTAATCATGGGAAACATTTCATGGAGATTGTATTTGAGGGCAATTTCCCTGGTAGCTGGGAGAAGAAGCCAAGACACTGGCAAAGAGTCAACTGGTGTGATGTTAACTGACACATTGTAGTCTGTATCTGTTGGGGGATATTTGTACACAGCGTGAAGATGTGTCGCTGGGATTGGTTCAATAAAGAGCAGAATGGCCAATAGCTAGGCAGGAAGACGTTAGGCAGGACTTCTTGGGACAGAGAGGACTCTGGAAAATGGAAGGCAGAGTCGCCAGCCAGACATGGAGAGGAAACAGGAGGTGCAAGATGGAAGAGAGGTAATGCCCCATGATAGAATGTAGGTTAATATAAATGGGTTAATTTAAGTTATAAGAGCTAGTTAGGAACAAGCCTAAGGCATAGGCTGAGCTTTCATAATTAATAAAAAAAATCTCCGTGTTGTTATTTGTGATCTGGTGGCCCAAAGAAAAATCCAACTGCGTACATCTCTTCAAACCCCCAATTCCCTCCATGCACTAGCTTCTAGTATGCTTCACCCAACAAAGCAAAATAGGGGAGTCTAAGCCTTTTGAAGTCAACTCCTTTAGAGTTCCCAGCATCTTCCTATAACTGGAACCAGCTTGGTGGATTAGTCTGTATAGTTATCCTGAGCCCTGTGCTCACAGAGTCCTCCCTGTCCTTGGCTGAGTGCTCTTTTGCCTCCATCTTGAATTCTTACACTTTGGAATGAGTGCCTTTTGTTCTCAGCTTACAGCGAACTTCACCCTTCGTGTAGAAAGGGTCCTGCTTGCAGCCATTTATAAGTCATAGTTCACCAATAATTCTTGAAACAGAAGAATGGCTTGAGAATTATTAGGAGATTTTTTTCGAGATTAATAAAGACTATCATGAGCCTTTCCATAAAGAGAGCAGTGCCAGTCTCTCCTGAGGGCAGAGAGACACTCTTCCTGAGCCCAGGCTGACATGTTTCTCACTGGCTGTTCTGCTACACAATGTCTGGACCATGGCCAGAAGCAGAATGGGAGAGGATGAAAGCATCCTTGACTTTTGCAGAGTTAAACACTTGGAGAGACTTCAGGAGAAAAGTACTTGGTTAAAGATAAAGGTAGCTGGCCAGTGTGAGCTCCCAGCCTGTTGCCTGCTTCTCCTTATTTTCATAGTTCTTAGCATGTTTATTCTCTCCTTTCTCAGTGGCCAAAGGACAAGTTTAAATTTCTGATTTCCTCTGGGGACCCTGAGAGAGGCAAGAGGCACCAAATACAGGAAATCATGTGGAGAGAATCTCTCATTTATTACAGTCCCCAGATTACTTCCCTTCCTCAGCCTCCGCCTCCACCTCCAGCCACACGGTGCCTCCCAGTTTCTTCCTGCACTGAGGAACAGCCCACAGTTCACCTCTGCCCTGAGGTCTGGAAGCCTGCGGGAGCCTGAAGGCTGATCTGGAGAAACTCAACCCTTCTCAGGTTACTTGAATGAATGGGACGTCCTTAAGTTTCACCTCCCCTCAGAGGTCTGGGGCTGATCTTTCATACAGGAGTAAATGTGAAGAGGCTGCCTACTGCTGAAGAGAAAGGTAGGTGTCTGTGGTTTGTTGTTGTTGTTGTTGGGTTTTTTTTGGTTTTTTTTTGTCTCCTTGGATGTGAGACTAGCTCCTCTAAAGCAGATAGATGGTGTCTGTCGACCCAGCACTCCGCTGCGCTGCCCGTGCTCAACTTGTGTGCCTTGTGGAGATCCGCTGAGTTACAAGATTGTGTGGGTAAATAGTGGCAGGCAGAGGAATTGTGGTTGGTTGTTCTGAGTTCCTGTGTCTTTGGCTAGAGAATAGTGACCAACATAGTTCATGAAACACAAAGCCTGGTTCTTGTTTTCTTTGGAGGAACATCTCATTAGGGTTGTGTGTTTTGGCTTCTGTGTCATGGAAGGGGAAATATTTATGCTCTGATTTGCCTTTCCCCCCACTGTGCAGACCTTTACCATGATTATTTTAATTAGTTTTCAAGTTAGAAATAAATCAAGGTGGATAGAGAAGAAGGTGTTTCTCGTTTACATAACCATGCTTTTTATTTATTTTTTAAATAGACATGTTGTTCAGGGATTTGGTGGGCATCTGTGTCGTTTTCCAGAACTTTCTTGCTCTCCCTGAGATTTCCTGAGATACGTATCCAATGATAAATGCAAAGCCTGGCTTTACCTGTTTGGTGTGGAAATCCCTTGCAGGCACGACGCTCGTCCTTTCCCTGGCCACCTTGGCTGGATGTCAGTGGGGTTCAAGAGGATGCAGCTGAGACCCAGAGGAAGGCGAGGTAGATTCAGTTCACGGAGTTCTGAATTGGGTGGGGTGTGCTTGTGCTTTATTGTTTCACAACCCCCTCATCACCAGGTTTTCCTTGAGGAGAGATATTTGTCCTGACTTCCAAGGCCATGCTGAACTCTTTCCCCTAGCGTACTTGGTTTAGATGCTCTCATTTATTTATTTATTTGACACTGCATACTTAGCTTTGGTATTGCCTTTCTCCATTCATCCTCCATATCCTGCTACAGAGTTCTTGGCAAAATGTAATTGTGATTTTGAGGTTCTCCTCCTGAGCTTTATCTAATTAATATACACACCCCGCCGCCTGCAGCTCTGCTACCTAAGGGGCCCCAGGGACCCTTTGTATCAGGCATCACTAAGGACTCCTTGGAAATGCAAACCCCCTTCTCCTCCCTAGACTGAGTCTGTACTTCATCCAGGTTCCTGGGTGGGTGACATGTGTAATAAATCTTGCCAGATCCTGCCTGCAGTGAGGGCGGATGGCTCTTTCCAGGTCTGCTCCATAACTCCCTGCCAGCCTCGCCTCTCACCACCTGACTTCCCAACTCTACCTAGTACCACTTCCCTGGTCCTGGTGTCACTCTGCTGCCCACCTATGTCTGGGGGTGTTGCTGTCTCTGCCTAGATACCTCCATTCAGCTTCTTCCCGGTTACCCGTTACAGCCTTACCTTACTTACTCTCAGGCCCCCATATTCAGTTCACCCCTCTACCAAGCACCCTGGGTCTGTGATTTTTATGGCACACAAATTATGGTTGCTATGGGTTTTCTCATCCTTGACTACACTCTGGTGCTTTATTTCTGAATCCACAGCACTGGACAAGACATCTGGCAAACCGCTCGTCTCAGTATTATCTGAGTTCCTGAGTGAATGAATGGAGGAAGGAACAAATGAATGTGTGTGCTAGCAGAATAATTTAAATTAACAGTCAGAATGAGACGTATAGGTAGATGTTTTTTCCAGGAAGACTGCCAATGTCTATAACATCTTCCCATTCTTTGATCTGAGACTTTGCTGGATTCAGTTATTTGACGAGTGTTTTGAGGATCTACTGTGTGCCATGCGTTTTTGAAAGTCTCTGCATCTCTCAGGATCGCTAGCCTCTCTGGTTAGGTTCTTCCTCATCCCTGCCCTCCACTCTTTACCGCACTGAGTCAGAACTTTACTCTCTCGCCGTGTGCAGGGAACACCTTCCACCTAGCAGGCAGCCGGCAGTGCAAGAGGAACATGATGACAAATGAGAGGATGTGAACCTGAGCAGGGGAAATTTCAGCATCCTCCCTCCCAACCCCTCACCCCTGCACCCTCCAAAATGAAAAGAAAGAAAGAAAAGAAACTGGGAAAACAAAAAGACCTGGTGCCTCATCAGTGTTAACATATGCAAGTAAGGGCGTCGGGAACTTTAAGACAGAAAGCAGAAAGACTCGTGCTGTGTTCTGGGGTCTCTAGCTGTAACCCCTGTACCTGTGGCTGTCTTGCCGGGTAACTTTGGGTCTACGACCTTTCTCTAAGCCTTTGATTTTCTACAGTGGCGAACAGGGAAGCTTTGGTGTCACTCGGTGTACGGAGGTCGGGGTGTCTCTGCTCACATTGGCTCGTGATAATGGTTTATGGGTCCCAGGCTAGTCTTGAACCACGTAGCCAGGAATGACCTTGAATTTCTGATGCCCCTGCTTCCATTTCCAAGTCTTGGGCTTTCATGTCTGCCCTTATCATACCCAGTTTATGCTGTACCAGAGATGGAACCAGGGCTCATGCATGCCAGGCAAGCCCACTACCAACTGAGCTACAC